GGCCCCGCTTTACACAACAACCACGACGCTGCATCCCCAACGGCACTTGAGCAGCGTGCTCAGTCGCCTCCAGTAAGGTGCTCGCTTTGACAAACACCAGCCACACATTCCACACCCTCCAGCGTGTGATCTTTCTCGGTTGCGTTCTGATTTATCCCGACACCAACGATTTGCTCTGAAAACTCAAAAATCTGAAACGAGAGAAACTGGAGGTGACCCTTTCCCGATACCCAGTGAACTAGAAATGTGGTTCTCGTTCACACTTTGGCAGCCTGCTCAACCGCCCCAACGTCTCTTAAATATTTCTCAGCCTGAAGCCTCCCTTCAGAATCACTCTTTACACATGACAAGGAAGCCAAAGCAGTGAGATGGTTTGCCTTTGGGCACTTGGCCACGACTGCCACGTGCGGGCCAGGCGGCAGAGGGGGCTCCCGGCAGGGCAGGACACCCCTTGGCCCTCGCAGGGCTTTTTGTGCCACAGCCCTTCCCTCCTGTGGGCTGAAAGGAAATTCGGAGCCCTTTAGCAATTCAGACTGCATGCAGAAACTGTTCCGCTCCCCTCTTGGCAAAAAAGCTCTGCAATTCATGCACCTCCAAGTGCCAGCACCCGGATGCCACATGGCTGCACATTCTCCAGCTCTGTTGTAGGTTTTTCACACATGAAAATGATAAAAAGGGGCTCAGAGCATATAAAGAAACTGAAAAAAACGATAGCTTCTTGAACTCTGGCATGCATATGTTGTGCTGGAGCAGTAACATATCCTCCCCCGATTAGAAGGTATCAATTGAAAAGGTTTTCTCCAGACTACCCATCAGTACAGAATAACTGCACTTCAATAATCTAACCTAACTCGTCAGGTTGGGGATTTCAACACGCAATGGTATTCACATAGCACAATTCCTAGAGATGTCAATTTTTAAAATTTAAAGCAACCCAGGTATACAGGACTTCATAGGGAACATAGTCACAATTTCTAAGCACTCACAACCCTCCTTACACCTGACCGACATTGGCAAGATGGGGAATTCTAGGGGAAAAAGCTCAGGATTTAAAGATGTTTCTGTAGGCTGGAACCTTCAAATTTATATTTCATCCAACTTTTACAGGTGTTATACCTTCTTTAAGCTCGATCATCACCAGCTTCAGCTCGAGACTCTTCTAGCACTGTCACGTAACCAGGTCTTTCAATACAGACTAAGCAGCTTTACACATTACACATTAGTAATTACTAAAAGATACTCAAGGGAGATTGCATTTTTTCAGATCTGAGCAGACTCACGAAAACCTAGCTCACTCTCTCACAGGTGGAAAGAATTAACTTTGTCAAAGTAACTGCAAAACTACCATTGATAAAACCGGTCCCCAAGTTTTCATTGTGTAGCCTTTGCAATGAAATAAAGACAGAAATATTAAAATATGCAACATGAAGAAAAAAAAGTAAATTAAATAGCGTAGTACCTTCTTGAAAAGAAACAGTCATAAAATGGACTCAATAAATTGGTAAGAACAGCTAGCTCTTTCATGTGTGTGTATTTTGGGAATTCTAATACAGCTGCAACTCCAACCATGCAGCTGACTAGTCTAAAGAACTTTCCCATACAGAAAGTCACGCACATTTATTTTTGCCACTGCAGGGATTGAATTCGTATCTTACGTATATATACATTACACTCTACATTTAATCAGATATAAATTAGAGGTATGAGACCCTTGTAGCCTCTTTAAAGACATTTTAAATTAAGCAAACCCTTGAAAACACCTATTTAAAGAAACCCAGCATTTGCTTACTCCACATAAAAATATTAGGTGTCAGTAGTAGCTCTGTTCCCCACAGACTACCAATTAGCTATTAAGGATTATCAGCTTTTGAAGAGTTTATCTCAACAGGGCTGGG